GGTCTTTCTGTTTCGAGTCGCCTATCTGGTCTTCCTTCTGCTTCGAGTCGATAGTCTGATTGGGGTCTTTCTGTTTCGAGTCGCCTATCTGGTTTTCCTTCTGCAAGGTCTGAGTGGTACGAATGGGGATTCGAGACGGGGACATCGGGAAAGGACTCGCTGGTGTGTTCAGGTATTTGTCCTTGAGCTCCATAAGGCTTCGGGCCGCTGGCGATATGTTCCGTAGCTTGAGCGCTCGTAGACTCGACTGGGCGGGGGAAACCTTCCTGGACGGAGTCTTCAGAAGCAGTTAGCATTGGTACCACAGTAACAAGGGGACTCTCCAACTGGGCTTCGGCAGGGCTATCATGTTCAATGGGAACGATAGGTACCTGAAGGCCCCCAGAGGATTGACCATCCATGTTCTCCTGTAGACCACTTTTCACACGAGATTCCGCAGTCCGAGTCTTGGCAATGTCGAGTTTCCTAGCCTTGGCCTTCGACGTGCTGGCGGCGGGAACCGTGTGGTGGGCATGGGCATCTGAGCTCGCGTCAGAAGCATTAGACCCTACTGAGTATGGATCCGCAGTGTCTGGGCGACTCAGTTCAGGTCTACGAGCCTTGCTCGCAGGACGCATCGGCGCCGATGACAAGGAGGAGATCGAAGAGCCAACGGGCATCGACCGCACAGCAGGCTGACCACGCTGCAGCTCGGACACATTTGTGTCTGAGCGTGCGGACTGTGCCGATTCTGGGCGCTGTTGCTGGATGGGCTTGGGTGCCAGATGCGCCTTCTTATGTGCCGCAATAGCTTCCTGTAGGGCAGATCGACTTTTCATGGAGGTGCCAGCTGCGACGCCCTTACGAGAAATGTTATCGGACTTGGGTGCAATATTGGGGTTCCCAGGGTCTTTTTCGAGCTGACTCCGAGATTTAGGGTCAAGATTGGAGAGGATACTGTACCGGGTTAGTCGAAGCGAAGATGATAAGAAGAGTGATTAACATACTCGTTGCCCTGGTTAGGCCACATGCCAAAGAACACCCAAAATGTACCGCGCATCGCCTGTCTGACAGCCGGGTTGGCGTCTGCGAGTCCTTTCTTGAAGGCCTTTTCGAGTAGCTCCAGCCCGCCTCCGTGTTCAATGGAGGATCTGTTGGCCGCCTGCTTGTTGAGGATGATTTTGAACCAGTCTGCAGAGAAAAGTCGCAACTGGGCATTCTTGTCCTGCGAAGCACCGAAGACGTGCTGCAAGATACGAGGGGTGAAGGAAACATGCTGAATGACAGTCTCCACTGTCATCTTTCCGTTCTGTGCTGTTATCTTCTTCATACCAGCGCACAGCTTGATGAGATTCTGCATGATGATCTCCATCATGGGATCTATCTTGGGTCCACAATATATGGCCATATCCTGCATGAATAGGCAGCCATTCGTTGCCATAGTCGTACGAAGGGAATTGACGACCTTGAAGATACCGTCTAGAATGGACTTCAGAGCCGTGATCAATGTATTGGAGTGGGCGACAGGCGCATTGCCACGGACCAGTCTGCGCAGCAGCATAACGTTCTTCTCACGCTTTGCCCAGTTCTCTTCAGACTCGCGTCCGTCGAAGTGAGGAACCATGGCGCGGATGATGTCTTCAATCTCACGCGAGGAGGAAACATTGAGTGGCTCCACGCTGTCGCCGTCGCTGGGGGTCAATGGGGTTGCTGGACAAGATATTAGCTTCCACTATTGATGCGGGATAGGAGCCAACTCACCCTCGGAAGAGTGCTGCGGAAGAGGGTCTGCTTTGATTATAGGGCGTTTAGGACCTTCAGCCCGAGATACGGGACGTTGAGAAGAAGACTCTACTCCGCTAAGTCCGTCGGCTCGCGACGGGGGGCGTGATTGAAGAGCTTCTGCCCTGGAAATAGGACGTTTGTGTCCATCCGCCCTTGACATGGGCCGTGGATGAGCCTCTAAGCTAGAATGGGGACGTTGTGTGATTCGGTCTGCTCGATGCATGGGCCCTCTATTGGGTTCAAGATCGGCGGGATCGAGATCGATCTGGGTGAGGATGGCGTTCACGATTGTCTTCCGTACGCTGCGGATGCTAAGCTGATTCATGAGATCTGCTTTTGCGCGTGCCGAGGCACCAGATGCTGTGCTTTGGGTTCGTTAGTATCCAGGCCAGGTTGAGATCAAATGGATGGAAGCGTACCCAAACAATTCAACTACAGTCAACTTCGCTGCGTCTCGTACGGCCGGGTCCGCATCTTCGAGACAGTTGACAAGCTTCGCCACATATTGACGGAACCGCAAGCCATGCGTTCTAGACATCTACAACAAGAAGGAGGCTGTCAGACACCCGCCATATATAGAAGAAGGAAGACTACTTACGTTGGAAAGCCAGATCAAAGCCATTTCCTTTGCCCTGGGGTTTCTTCCGACCAGGGCGGTATCGAGAACATAATGTTCCACCTCGGCGCTCGCAGCTGGCCAGAGCTCGGTGAATGCTTGAGCGGCCTGTGCTCTCACCCGTTCTCTGTTATCGCCTAATTTCTCCAGAAGTAGAGGTTGGAGGTTGCGACTGTAATTTGCAATCAAATGCGGTTGTCGCTGAATGAACAAGCGCCTGGTCAGGTGGCTAAGCATATTGAATGCAGGCGTGATGATGTTGCCATGTGGTGAGCTAATGAAAATCCGCGCCGCCTCGAATGATGGCGGCACCGCCGCTTCAGGGACATTCCTCTGTTTGATCTCCGATTTGTAGGCCACCAAAGCACCCGTCTTCGCATCCAGGGATAGGTAGTTGTTTCTGGCGATTTCCACCAGCTCCAAGGCTTTAGCTTCCATGATGTTCAGGAGGATGGTAAACAGACGGCGAACTTCGTCCCCGGACAAAGTGAGAACGGTAAATAAAACGCAGAAGGTGACCGCGGATGTACGAAGGATCCAAAAGAGTTTGATCAAAAATTCGCCAAGGAATGGCAAAATGTCGCCGATGTGAAGTATTGAAGTGAGGACCGCAGCGGTCACCACCGCTTTCCAGTGTCTATCATCCATGATGAGTTAACAACGTACGAAAACAGCAATCCAAAAGGTGTTTTTGAGGGTTTATTTGGTTTCCCAAGAGCAGTACAAAAAACAGCAAGAACGCAGCAAGAAAGCAGGGAGAACGCTTGTAGAATCGCATATAGAACGAGAATACGGGAACGCTCGCAGAAACGCTTGACGAACGTGGGTGAAGGTGGGTAGAGGTGGAGAGGTTGGGAGAGATGAAGAGGAGAGGAATCGGGGGGGGGACGCGCGAGGTCGAGGTCATTCATACCTGAGAACAGTGTACTTCGTGTGGCAGGTGCGCTAATTATTGAATCAAATAAAGGCAGTCGCGGCGACGAGGTTGTTGGTGAGGAGAGAAGGAGCGGATGAGGGTCGGTCGGGAGAGGTGCGGTGGTGGTGGTGAAGGAGGAGGAGGTGGTAGTGGTGGTGGTTGATTGAAGATGGGAAGGAAGTCGTATCGAGGGGAAGGAGCCTGAGTCTAGGCCGATAAGCGACCAACCGCGGCGATAAGCGCTTGTGAATGCAACTCCACTCGGGAAGACGGATCAATTGAGCCCTGACAAGGAGATTGGTATGTGAAGGGGTAGCAGCAATTCAAGTGTGACAGGCAGAGAGGAGATTATATCTAGGTGAGCGTCGTCGAGGCCAGGAGGTGGGGAGTGGGGGGGGGGGTTTGTGGTTGTAATGATGATTTGTTGTTGTTATTGTCCCTGAATCTTTTTTTTCAGTTGGCTTTGTTTACCCGCAACGCCGCCGGAGCCATGGTTGCTCCGCTTTGGGCAAGCCGAGTTGTTATGGCAGCTAACTTACATATAAGTTAGTTGTAATTAGGTAGATACGTACAGTCGCTTGGGTAGTAGACTATGGCCATCACAGCATGGAGCTGCCCAACCCAAGATGATGCTTTGGAGACTTGTACAGGACGTACTGGACTCAAGGGCGACCCGACCCGCCTTGATAATATCAAACTCCCTGTTTTCCCAGGCCCTTGTGGTAGTTCCTCCCTTGCGGACTCGAAACAAAAAGGGGAGAGGCGGCACTGTCAGTTACGCAAGTCCACGGACGGTGCAAGTACTTGCTCACTGATTTTACGATCTAAGCTTTCAGTTATCGCTATGGAGTATAGTATAATAGTAATCGTTGGTGGGTATGTGTGTAGCAATGCAGAGTATGAGTCGAAGCCCGATGAGATCTTGCACAACGAAAAGGGGCGGCGGGGGAAGACGTAAACACGAACGCGACTCTGCTCCATTATATACTTGGGCATCACCATGGGTTATCTCCCCACTCTGAAACCGAACCACCAGCTGATTTGATGAGAGAAACATAGTATTACGCCTGCGACATAAACCGCATCCTCTTCCTTCCCAGAATCGAGTACGTTATTATGTGTCCCGACGACTTTACCGACTACCATGAGTCCTCGGTCGATTAACCTGCAGCAACTCCACCGGATCGACGCGCCGGGGGTGGATCGGGCCATTCTTTGGGGGCCGACGAGCAGACACTTGGACCAGCTGCCGTGTCATGGTCGGGCAAACCACAAGCAGAACTGCATGAGTATTCGTCCTGGTGCACGGAAGATAGACTACAGGCGCTGCATCTTGTCTAGTTCACCAAGTGGAACCAACTCTGAGTCGGAGGAACAATGGATGGTGGATCCTGTCAAGACCATGCGGCATGCTACCGCGTGTCTGCATGCAGGAATCAGCTAACAACTACTTAGAGACCAGGACGGTAGATTCGCGCGCACGCGCCAATATTTAGCCTATACAGTAGATAATTGACGTACAAATCCGTCCACTATCAACCTCTGACCTCACTCACCTGAATAGCAACACGCTGAATAGCTCAAGCTACCTCCCACAATGGCCCGAATCCCACCATCACCATTACCACCACCACCACCTCCTCCCCCTCAAGCCACTACACTACTAACCAACCTCACCAAGCCAGACACCAGCACCACACCCAACACTACCACCCTCACCTCAAGTGACCAGCAGCAGCCCACCACTTCAACCTCAACACCCACCACTGTAAACCCCGCACTCCCCACCCCGAAACTCCTCCTCCAAATCCACGACCTCCGCCACCCCTCCACAACCACCTTCCTCACCCTGATCCCCAATCTAGCCTCCACCCTCGAAACCGCTCTTACCACCATCCTCCAAACCCTCTACACCTGCCCACCACCAAATCCTCAAACACCAAACAACCCCCCCAAAACCACCCCCATAACCTTCACCCCAACCCTGCCCCCGACCCGCTCCATCACCACCTTTCTCCGCCCCATCCCCGGCGTCGCCTACACAACCGGCACCGACCTCGACGCGGACCACAAAGAGATCCACCTCTCGCTCGCCTACATCGCGAGCTGCACCGAGCGATACGCCGACTCCTCCTCCTTGCGCGCCGAGATCGTCGGGGTCCTCACCCACGAACTCGTCCACTGCTACCAGCACACATCACCCGACAGCGACGATGACACCGCCCCAACCCCCCCCGGGGGCCTGATCGAGGGGATCGCCGACTTCGTGCGCCTCAAGGCCGGGCTGGCGCCGCCGCACTGGCAGCGGCCGCGGTCAGCCGCGGAGCGCCCCGAGAAATGGGATCAGGGGTATCAGCACACGGCGTATTTCTTGGCCTGGCTGGAGGAGGTCCGCGTCGGGACGGGAGCGGTGGGGCTGGTGAATGATCGGTTGTTGCGGGTTGGGTATGTGGGTGAAGATGACGACGAAGAGGGGGAAGGAAAGGATGCGCAAAAGCGAGGGGAGGAGGGGTTCTGGCGGGGCCTGTTTGGGGTTGGGGTGGAGGAGTTGTGGGAGGAGTATGGTCGATATCTGGATACCTTGGCGGGAGAAGGACGCTAGCTGGGACTCGAGGGAGGGTGAGATCAATCCTTGAGGAGGCTGTGGGATTCTATCTGGAGCTGGATGGGTAGGAACCTCTGTTCTCCACCCATTTGGGTTGAAAGATATTCTCGTGAGTTGGGTCAAAGTCAGTATTCAGACCGAGATGTGAACATATAGAATCCATTGGATTTATTGAGTACATGTAGATTCAGCCACTTGGATCTCCCAAACAGTTTTTTCGTCTTTGGAACCTTCCACACACACACACCCTTCCCATTGCGAATCTCTATTGGTATAAAGAAAAAGGGACGAGCTTTATAACTAGAAAAAAAAAAATAGAACAACTCGACATGACAGAAAAACATCAGATGAAGTAGAAATTCCCGTATTGTACAGAACCTTGCGAAAATTGCGAAATTGGTAGGAATAATATGTAAATGTTGCACTTGCCGTCAATTGCCACCTTGACAAGGTCTATATCAAAATGTGACGCCGTTTCCAAACACTGCTCTCATGAACCCCCCCCTCTTTACACGATCACCTCCCCCAGATCCACATGAACGGGCTTCCAGGGGGCGGCTCCCTCTTCTTCCATCGAGTTGGGCAGACGCACTTCCAGCGGGCTGTACAGGTACCAGGCCTTGAGGGCGGCAACGGCCGCCCGAGAACGGGCTTCCAGCAAACTAGAACCCGCACCCTCACCCAGCTTATCCTGGCCGGAGTAGATGCCAACGACGAAAACGGGGTGCCGACTCAGGCGACCGGTCTCACTAAGGATTTTGGCGACTGGGGGCTCGAAGTTTTCACGGGCACAGAGGCGGGAAAGATCACGAGCCGGCTCGCGGAAGTTGAACAAATCAGAGATGTTGAGGTGGCGGGAAAGAAAGTGCTGCTCGAAGAAGCGCTTGGCAGCTGGACGGCCAGCATGGAGGTAGATGGCGCCGATAACAGCGCGAACAAACTGGGAGGCTGCCGCTTCGGGGGTGACGCCTGCAGCGTACCGGTCGGTTGCCTGGGGCTGTTTTCGCGGGTCAACGCTGGCCTTGGTGGGGTCGCCGAAAACATCATCATAAACGATCTTCGACGTGATCGACCTCCGCCATGTCGTCTGCTCCTCGTAAGTTCTGTTCGTAGCGGTGGGGGTTGTGTTCGGGTCGACGCCCGGGGCGGCTCTCGTGAACTGCAGGTGGCCAGGGTCGACCTCTCCACCAGGTGCAGCAGCGAGCTCCACACCCCATTCCCTCGACATGGCAGTCAATGTCTTGGGACCGACATAGGCAAACATGGCGGCGAAGATGACCGTCATAGGAAGACGTGGGTATGTGCAGATGAGGTATTCGGAGGTATACTGTGTCAGGAGGTCATGACCAAGGGTAGCCAGAGACTCGTTGTTGAAGTTGTGGTTGGGATCAGCCGATTCGTCCACAAGACAGCGAGCAAGGGTCTCGAGAGGAAGTCGTGAAGGAAGGTAAAGTCGTGCATGGAGCGCAGCGAGTTTCGCGGACTCGCGTACGGCCTTGACAGGCGGAGAAGGGAGGGAGTGCTTGGTGACTTTTGAGCGAGGGGAGCGAATTGACGCAGGAGGGGTTTGTTCCTCAATCGATAGTTCGGCCTCAGCAGGCGTGACAGGGATAGAAGTTGTCGTCTGGTACCGGATACTGTGTTGTATACGTCGCTGCAGTCGACTTCCAGCCCGGGCCTGCGGCGAAAGGACCGAACTGCTCCATCGTTGGAGGTGCAGTCTCTTCATCTGTGCGATTTGTGTGACTTGACAGGCACCCTAAGCCGAAGGAATACCAATTGACCGTATACCCAATTAAGGACTGCGTCGTGGCTTTGGGGTTAGGAAACGGGGGCAGAGGGTCGTCCGACGGGCTGTCAGTACGAACTTTTGGTCGCCAGAGAAAAGTTGAGCGAGCAACAACTTCGGCGGAAGTCACGGGGTTTGGGTTTGGCGGTCGTGTGAGAAAGTCGCCCATGGAGCGCTAAGCCTATTCCAGACATAGCGTCACGGGGTCTGGGACCGGGACTGGAGGGACGAACGACGGCCAGTTCGGCTTCAAACCCGCCAGAACAACGCTTTCTAGCGAGCCACTGTCCACGTTTTCCCCAACCCGCTTAATTTACTTACCCTCAATCACAATGGGTGGAGGCGGAAAGATCCCGTATGTGTTTTTCTTCTGAATCCTCTGAGGTCCCCCGTGTTGCGCTGACCGATGGCCCGCGCGCAGGTATCCTAAGGAAGTCTGGTCTCCCGCCGGAGGCTGGTATGCTCAGCCCGCAAACTGGAAGCTCAACACTGCCATCATTGGTGCCACCATGCTTGGTATCGTTGCTACTGTCTGGAGCATCAGCGCCGACCGTGAGCACCGCGACAAGATGCCCGAGCCTGGCAGATTCTTCCCTAGTCGCTAGTCAGTGCAATTCAGCCAATCCCCTGTCAAGCGTTTCTAAGCATCTGGTCATTGACTCTATCTCGTCTATATAGCTGGAGCAGGGAAATTATCGAACACGAGAGAAG